AACAAGGAGACCTAGCAAATCCGGAAACGTCAGTAAATATAGTTTATTATTTGATTATAATAAATTATAATTAACTATAAAGTAATCAATTTGCCAAACAGAACGTTTGCCAGAATTATTGACCTTTAGTCAATCCTTTTCCTTATAAACAGTGATCATCTCAACTTGATCCGATATACTCGCCTGACTGTGCCTCTAATTCCTCACCATAAACTTTTGTAAACTACATCTGTTCATCGTCCCTTTCGATTAATCGCTTACAGTCGCTTTTATCCGGCGAGTCGCTGTAAAGTTTCGTCTGCCAGTGACACAATAACTTCCCTCCACCGTACTGTTCTTAGACTGGAGAAAGTTTCGTCCTATTGGAAACGAGCACGTGGGGTAGAAGAAGAGGAGGCTAGTTTATAAGCTAGCAGTCACACGTATTAGAAGCTGATCTGCTCACGACTTGAAGCATGTCGTTTATCGAAACGGTCAATGCTCAAAGCATTCTTGTACGTCGCATATCATTAGTATGGTGAGAACTGTTAAGCGATTACCTTACCGCAGATGGCTATGACAAACAGCGGTAAATTTTAAAAATGCATTTCATTCAGCTGGTACGAATCACCGCTAGCGAAGAAGGCTCAAATGCACTTTTTCAAAATCATACAATTCTCTCATCTCACCTAACGTGTGAGAATGACCATGCGATGAATCCGAGCATCAATGCCAATAGTGTTTGCTAAATATTTGCTTAATTCACCAACTTATAGGAATGATCGCCAGGGCAACTTTTGCCGATCTCTTCGAGTTAGGTCTCGATCGAGGGCTCGAGTCAGTTAGTAAATTTCGTTATCCACTATCTTGCTCGCTTGTTTTCCCGCACGGAATCAGAATAGTAAGATTTTCTTTGCTCTGTATGTTTTATACATAACTTCTACAGCGTCTTTTAAAAGCCCTGGTCTTCTATACAGGGCAGATGAAACACAATTTATTGCGTTACCTCGCGTTATCACTTTCTGTCTCAGTCAACATTATTGTTGTCATATCATAACCTGATTATAACCTTACTGTTCCTCTTATATGCGATTGCAATGCGCGTTTTTTCCTTTGAACTTTCTTAAAGACGCTTTAGCTACTGCCACTAATAGATGTACATGTGATCACTGCTGAAGCAAAGTTCATATTCTGCCTCAACGAGGTTCGTCATGC